TAATCAGTAATCATATTATAACTTGAAAATTTGTAGCAGGCAGTGACTCAAGTGATAATGTAATGTGCATAAACGCATCTATTATCCCTTTCATGCGCTAGGACCGCGTGGCTATTCTGGAAGAAATTGCGAAACGCGACAAGCGCTTGAAGCTGCCTGATGATGTGATTGCGCGCACGAAGCAGTGCCCCCCTTACTTTTGACTGTGATTCTGTCAGCCTGTCTACGCTTATTTGATGTTTTTGCTTCATATTCAATTCCTAATATTCAGGAACTTCACTGTGAGATGTGGAAACAAGCCTGCCAGCATCGGCGTGGTGTGCCATGCTCAGCAACAAGCTTGTGTACTAAATGTTCATTGTTTGCAGTGTTTTCGTGGCATAGATTCAAAAATATTTGCCGAAATTTCAGGATGGCATTGTCTGGCTCGTTTTACGTGAGCCCTGCGGCTACCGATGCCGTGCAGCGTGCCAACAAGAAGTGGGGATTGAATATGAAGGCCTGGGGTGCAATCAGTCGTTTTTGGAATGCTGTGCTAACAAAAATAGCTGCAGGCTAACAAGAAGGGTGACCTCACAGTTGGCTGGGCGAAGTTTTTCGATATGGATTCCGCGTTTCTGCCTTAGCTGATATGTAATTTGCTAGAACTAAACCTGGAGCCTGCCAGCAAGCTTGCTTCTCCAAGGTGGCGATATGCTGTTTTGGCGGCTGATTGGTAGTGTGGGACGCCCGTTCCAGTTTTGCATAGGTCACGCTAGGCTGAAGCTGTAGCAGCTGTGCTGTCAAAAAATGCTCGAAAGTGCAAGTACATTGCACTCTGATCAAGGAAACAATTGAAGCTGCCCTTTGTTGATTGTGTGACTGGATCTCGTGCTTGTTTGTGCAAGGCTTAGGCTCAATCTCCTGTTTGTGAAGGGCACTTTGCCAGGCAGGGAAGCATGGCCGGATGGATGTTAAAAGAGATTGCGCTGTCAAGCAGCGCCGTGGCACTGCTTCTGTCTTGTGGGTTCCCGCCCGTGATGCTTCTCCGGTACAAATAATGATAATAATAATAATA